TCTGACCCAGTGGACTCTGCCTCCATGGAGTCTCAGCAGCTGTCATTGTTTGCTACAGGACCACTGGCTGGGACCTGTAGTTCCACCTTTGAGGCCGCACTGCAGACAGACCAGACCCTAGAGCAGCTCAGAAGTCTGGCTAATCGCACCCCTGCAGAGAATGACAAACAAAAGATTTACTGGGAACAGAGAAGGCTGTATAGGGAGGGCTTGCCCACCGAGGGGAGGGGGTTGACATTGGTAGGAGACAGCTTGTCGTGCCTAATCCCTTTAGGGGACAGCTGCTGAAAGTGGCTCATGAAATTCCTTTAGCCGGGCACCTGGGGATCACTAAGACCAGAGCCTGATTGGTTCATAAATTCTTTTGCCCCACCATGCTCACGGACATAGCGGATTACTGTCGGTCCTGTGTTACCTGCCAGGGAGTTGGCAAGGCAGGGGATGTGCACAGGGCCCCATTGCAACCTTTGACTGTGATTGACGAACCTTTTAAGAGGGTGGCAGTAGACATCGTGGGGCCTCTAGCCATCCCTAGCAGCTCAGGCAAATGTTATATCCTGACAGTGCCTGACTATGCCACCCAGTAGCCACCTGCCTCTAGAAGCAAATAGAGTTATCCTATGTGTCCATGGACACTTTTTTAGTCTAAAAGCATTTTTGAAACTTTAACTTCTAGGAGAAATAAAACTTTTTTTATGTTTTTGGGAGCGATTTGCCAGCAGAAAAAAAACCTGAACGCTCCTAAGCTCTGCTAAACACTGCTAAGAGCTGGTTTCCAGCTTGTTTTTATTCTCAGCAGGCAGCTGCCTTCCCGAAAAAAAAAAAACAAAACTCTGCACTCAGTGCCGCTAAATAAACTAAGGGACGGGCCACCCAGTGACATCACCAGATTAATCCACCCCCTTTGTGACATCACTGGGTGGCCCCACCCCCTTGTGACATCATTGGGTGGTTGATTTAGCGCTGGATGCAGAGTTATTTCTTCGGGTGGCGACAGCGTTCAGTGATTGAGGCTGTATTGAGGACATTTTTTTTAAACAAAGGACTTGTCAAAAACTTTATTTTTGCCAATGTTTTGGAGATTAAGTAGGGGTACAATGTACCCCCCACTCATTCACATTGGGGGCAGAATCTGGGGGTCCCCTTGTTAAAGGGGACTTCCAAATTCTGATAAGTGCCCCCTGCCCACAATCACTGCCCAGGGTTGTTGGGAAGAGGGCCTTGTCACCATCAACAAGGGGACAGGGTGCTTGGGGGGCCTACCCCAAACCACCCCCCATATGTTTAGGGCATGAGGCCTGGTTCATCCCCCCATCCTTTCCTGGCCTGCCAGGCTGTATGCTCTGATATGGAATTTGGGGGGACCCCATGCCATTTTTAAAAATATTTTGGCGTGGGTTTCCCCTCAAAATCCATACCAGCCCTAAGGGTCTGGTATGAATTTGGTTGGGACTCCACACTGTTTTTATTTTTTAATAATAATGCGGGGTTCCCCTTAAAATCAATACCAGACCCGAAAGGCCTGGTATGGATTGGGGGGGGGGGGGGGCCTCATGCAGTTTTTCCCTCAAGTTTTAATTGCTGGCAATTCTATTGTTTACAGCTATCAGAGGGGAATCTCACTGACAACTGATGAGTCATCGGTTGTTAAAGCGATTCTAAAGGTTCATTTTTTTTTTTGTGTAAAATAACAAACATGTCTATACTTACCTATGTGTGTTTTTTTGCGCAGAGCAGCCTGGATTCTCCTCTTCTCAGGTCCCCCCGCAGGCTCTCCTGGCTCCTCCCGTCTGTCGGGTGCCCCCACAGCAAACAGCTTGTTACGGGGGGCACCCGCTGCTCCATGTGTCCATTCACAATGGCTCCCGCTTGCTGTCTCAGCCAATGAGAAAGCAGAGACTCGGGGCAGCCGAGGCTGTAATGCACATGGATCGCGATGAGGCTCAAGCAAGAATTGAGGGGGCTGGGTGAGCTGCTGCACAGGTTTTACAACCACTTTAAGGATGAACGCGGCCCGCTCCTCAACAACCAGCTAAACTTCTAAGTGCCAGCAAAACAAAGAAGGGAAAACCGCTAATATTGAGTATTTTTATCCAGCGTTTTTCCATCTTTTTTTTCAGCTCCTAGTGTGAAGGAAGAATCTCTCCCTGGTGACCTTTATGCTCCCCATTTAGAGTGCAACCTTCCCAACAAACTTCATTAGATTCCCCCCCTTCCCCAAAATGTATATCCCTTGCCACCTCTTCCCTGTCCACAAACGTAGACTACATTAGACCCCTCCCCAAACATATCTCCCTGGCCACCTCTTCCCTGACCACAAGTGTAGGCTACATTAGACTCCTCCCCAAACATATCTCCCTGGCCACAAGTGTAGGCTACATTAGACTCCTTCCCCAAATATATCTCATTGGCTACCTCTTCCCTGCCAACAAACTTAGGCTATGTTCACACTAGCTTTGTCAGCAGGGCATCAGACAGGCGTTTGGAAAGCGTTTTTAACGCTTCTCAAACTCCTATGAAAATTCTGTACATGGCAGCACAGTGCTGTTCACACTGAAGCGTTAGCGTTCTGGCAAAACTGATGCCTCATGTGGAGTCAGGAGGAGTTGAAGCCTCCCATTCAAGTCTATGGTGACGCTTCTCAAATGCCTGGCAGGTGTTTGCGGAGTGTTAAGACCATTAAACTTTATTATAGGCATTTGTGGTGCGGTTTTAACGCTTTGCAAACGCCTCACAAACACGCAAAGGGCGTTTGGGGAGCGTTAAAAACACTTCCCAAAGGCCTAACTATAGGGGCATTTGGCAGGAGTTAGAAATAAAGTCAAGTGTGAACGTAAAATACAATAAATAAATAAAAATAAAATAAAAAAAAAAATAAAAATTATGTCCAAAATCCCACCGTGTCCAAAAACAATTCAAAAAATATAAAAATCAAAAATCCAAAATTATAACAAAAATAATCCCCACAGGTGTAAAGTAAAAAACTTAAACTTTTTCTTCTTCTTTCATCACCAAAACCTTCTTAATACCCGCAAATCCTGATGTTCATACACCTCAAAAAAGGAAAAAAAAACTCGACATAGTGTCATACCTTAAATAATATAAAACACACGTGCCACTCACTGTGCAGCATGCAAAATATTAAATAACACATATCCTATGTGAATGTGTTTTCACTTACATTGACATTCACTTATTTGTATGTGTTTAGACACTCGTTTAGAGTATACACATTTATTTAATATTTTGCATGCTGCACAGTGAGTGGCGTGTGTGTTTTATATTATTTAAGGTATGACACTATGTCGAGTTTTTTTTTCCTTTTTTGAGGTGTATGAACATCAGGATTTGCGGGTATTAAGAAGGTTTTGGTGATGAAAGAAGAAGAAAAAGTTTAAGTTTTTTACTTTACACCTGTGGGGATTATTTTTGTTATAATTTTGGATTTTTTTATATTTTTTGAATTGTTTTTGGACACGGTGGGATTTTGGACATAATTTTTATTTTATTTATTGTATTTTATTTGTTCAAAGAAAAGTCACATATATATTGCCTAGCTGGCCTTCAAGGGTGGAGGTAGATTACTTTTCTGGGATATCATAGGGTTAAGTGTTGTTATATAGAATTACAAGTGTGAACGTAGCTTAGCCTTCATCAGCAAAGGCATTTATTTGGTGAATCCCAGCAGTAGGAATCTGATAACCGTGATCAGATAGCTTTGGCTGTCAAGCCCATACACTGCAATGAAAAGCTGTCGTGGCCTCAGCTATTCATGCTTGCTTGCACAGCTAGTGATCACCTGTATATTCCTGTTACTGGGATTTGCACCATGGGTAAATATCTGTGTGAATGGAGACTTGCAGGGCGACCTTCCCAACCACTTTCAATAAACCCTTCCCCCAAACTATATCTCCCTGGCTACCTCTCCCCTGCTTATACTGCTTCCCCCACCTCGTTGCCCCTCTCCTTTCTGGCCACCTACATTCCTGCTTGTTTTTTTATTACTTTTTTTTTATTGTTTTTTTATTACTTCCTAGCCACCTGTTGTCACCTGCTCACAGTGCATCTCTCCATGGCAACCTCCATTATGATCCAACTTGTAGCACACCCCCCCCCCCCCCCCCCCCAAAAAAAGAAAAATATCTTATTCACCACCCCTTCCCTGCCCACAGTGATCTCCCCACCCTGCTGCTCCAGCCAGGGCTTCCCTGCATTGCCACCTACATTCCTGCTTAATTTTTTTGTTACTTCCTAGCCACCTGTTTTCAACCACCACTGCTCACAGTTCATCCCTCCATTATGCCCCACTTGCAGCACAACCATTGATGCCCCCCCCCCCCCCCAAAAAAAACCAAAACAAATCCTCAGACTACCTTGTTGCCCACTCATTTACCACACCCTGATCAGAAAGCATCACTACCTGCCCACAGTGCATCCCTCTTGGCCCCCCTCACAGTACCTACCTTCACCAACACTAGTCCTGTACCTCACCACCTGAACATTGTACTCCTTTCTGATCCCCAGCTCTATGTGCCCCACCACCTGCACACTACCACATTGTACACTGCTTTAAGATAACTGCTTAGCAGTAAGCTGCCTTAGACACCACATACGGTGCATCCTCATGAGACTAGCACTGGCCTGTGGACAATATTTCCTGCTCCTAGCTCTGTCTATAACCTGATGAGCCGAAAAGTCAGGAACAAGAACTCTCAACACCGTGCACAGAGGCACAGTCAGCAGCTCGGACAGGAAGTGCCACGTGTACTAAGCGCGCATGCGCGGGGCCGCCCCAGGGCCGGGACTCTGCACTTCCTGCTGCCTGAGCTCCAGGGCTGAATAATTTCATTATTGCTAATATTCTCAGGCCTACACCAGGCGGACACCGGCGCCTTCCAGCCGGGAAGAGTCACCATGAGCGGCTGAGAGCCCGGCACACACAGGCCGTCTGCAGACGATCTCCGGAGCGCTCTGCCCCTTCCCCGCTCTGATCAGTCACCATGTCCAGCGCCAATTACAACTCCCAAAATGGGGGATCCGGGCCGCCCTACTCTAATGGTAAGTGTGGGGTCCCACTGGGGGTGATCCAGACCGAGGCGGGGGCCCCAGAAGTCGGACAAAGAGGAGACACTGTCTAGGGTTGCGTAATAGGTGGCCCTTCACTCTGAATGGAAGAAGGCTGTGCCCACCCTCTGACAGCTGGGAAGGGGTTAACGAGGGGGAGGTGAGTGCTGTGACCCGGGGACGTTCACCCCCCTCCACTGTGCGGGAAGGCAGACCTTGTGTGTCAGGTGACCCCCCCCCCCCCCCTCCTCCTAAACTTACTAAAGGTCACAGTATACCTTCCCCGGACAGTGCTGTCACCTCTGAGCCCAGTGTGTACCCTGTGAGGGGGTATCAACATCCCTTCATCCGGGAGAACTCGCTGAACACACGGCACACTATACCTGTTGATTCCAATACCGTACACACCGGACACTTTGTTGTAGTTTGTTTCTTTCTCATACTATGTCGGTTCTATTTACAGAAGGGTACAGTCTGAGAATGGAGTTTACTGGGCTTGGTTTTCTTGGAAAGGAACTCTTTTATTATGTGCAGCTCTGTCTTGTCTATCCAGTTTCTCTATCTCATGATGGATCTATCTGCCATATCTGTCTGTCAACCTCTATCTTTCTTTCTGGCCATCTCCTGTTGCCCTTCCGTCCGTCTGTGTGTCCGGTGATCTCCTGTTGCCCTTCTATCCGTCTGTGTGTCGGTGATCTCCTGTTACCCTTCTATCCGTCTGTGTGTGTCCGGTGATCTCCTGTTACCCTTCTATCCGTCCGGCTGTGTGTCCGGTGATCCTGTGATCTCCTGTTACCCTTCTATCCGTCCGGCTGTGTGTCCGGTGATCTCCTGTTACCCTTCTATCCATCCGTCTGTGTGTCCGGTGATCTCATGTTACCCTTCTATCCGTCCGTCCGGTGATCGCCTGTTGCCCTTCTATCTGTCCTGTGTGTCCGGTGATCTCCTGTTACCCTTCTATCCGTCCGTCTGTCTGTCCGGTGATCTCCTGTTACCCTTCTATCCGTCCGTCTGTCTGTCCGGTGATCTCCTGTTACCTTTCTATCCGTCCGTCTGTCTGTCCGGTGATCTCCTGTTACCCTTCTCCGTCTGTGTGTCCGGTGATCTCCTGTTACCTTCTATCCGTCCATCTGTGTGTCCGGTGATCTCCTGTTACCCTTCTATCCGTCCGTCTGTGTCCGGTGATCTCCTGTTACCCTTCTATCCGTCCGTCTGTGTGTCCGGTGATCTCCTGTTACCCTTCTATCCGTCTGTGTGTCCGGTGATCTCCTGTTACCCTTCTATCCGTCCGGCTGTGTGTCCGGTGATCTCCTGTTACCCTTCTATCTATCCGGTGATCTCCTGTTACCCTTCTATCCGTCTGTGTGTCCGGTGATCTCCTGTGTTACCCTTCTATCCGTCCGTCTGTGTGTCCGGTGATCTCCTGTTACCCTTCTATCCGTCCGTCTGTGTGTCCGGTGATCTCCTGTTACCCTTCTATCCGTCCGTCTGTGTGTCCGGTGATCTCCTGTTACCCTTCTATCCGTCCGTCTGTGTGTCCGGTGATCTCCTGTTACCCTTCTATCCGTCCGTCTGTGTGTCCGGTGATCTCCTGTTACCCTTCTATCCGTCCGTCTGTGTGTCCGGTGATCTCCTGTTACCCTTCTATCCGTCCGTCTGTGTGTCCGGTGATCTCCTGTTACCCTTCTATCCGTCTGTGTGTCCGGTGATCTCCTGTTACCCTTCTATCCTATCCGTCTGTGTGTCCGGTGATCTCCTGTTACCCTTCTATCCGTCTGTGTGTCCGGTGATCTCCTGTTACCCTTCTATCCGTCCGTCTGTGTGTCCGGTGATCTCCTGTTACCCTTCTATCCCGTCTGTGTGTCCGGTGATCTCCTGTTACCCTTCTATCCGTCTGTGTGTCCGGTGATCTCCTGTTACCCTTCTATCCGTCCCTGTGTGTCCGGTGATCTCCTGTTACCCTTCTATCCGTCCGGCTGTGTGTCCGGTGATCTCCTGTTACCCTTCTATCCGTCCGTCTGTGTGTCCGGTGATCTCCTGTTACCCTTCTATCCGTCCGGCTGTGTGTCCGGTGATCTCCTGTTACCCTTCTATCCGTCCGCTGTGTGTCCGGTGATCTTCCTGTTACCCTTCTATCCGTCCGTCTGTGTGTCCGGTGCTTCTGTCACCCTTTACCCTGTGTGTCCGGTGATCTCCTGTTACCCTTCTATCCGTCGGCTGTGTCCGGTGATCTCCTGTTACCCTTCTATCCGTTCTGTGTGTCCGGTGATCTCCTGTTACCCTTCTATCCGTCCGTCTGTGTGTCCGGTGATCTCCTGTTACCCTTCTATCCGTCCGTCTGTGTGTCCGGTGATCTCCTGTTACCCTTCTATCGTCTGTGTGTCCGGTGATCTCCTGTTACCCTTCTATCCGTCTGTGTGTCCGGTGATCTCCTGTTACCCTTCTATCCGTCCGGCTGTGTGTCCGGTGCTCTCCTGTTACCCTTCTGTCCGTCCGCTGTGTGTCCGGTGATCTCCTGTTACCCTTCTGTCCGTCCGGCTGTGTGTCCGGTGATCTCCTGTTACCCTTCTATCCGTCGGCTGTGTGTCCGGTGCTCTCCTGTTACCCTTCTATCCGTCCGGCTGTGTGTCCGGGTGCTCTCCTGTTACCCTTCTATCCGTCCGGCTGTGTGTCCGGTGCTCTCCTGTTACCCTTCTATCCGTCCGGCTGTGTGTCCGGTGCTCTCCTGTTACCCTTCTATCCGTCCGGCTGTGTGTCCGGTGATCTCCTGTTACCCTTCTATCCGTCCGGCTGTGTGTCCGGTGATCTCCTGTTACCCTTCTATCCCTGTGTGTCCGGTCTCTCCTGTTACCCTTCTATCCGTCCGTCTGTGTGTCCGGTGCTCTCCTGTTACCCTTCTATCCGTCCGTCTGTGTGTCCGGTGGTGCTCTCCTGTTACCCTTCTATCCGTCCGGCTGTGTGTCGGTGCTCTCCTGTTACCCTTCTGTCCGTCTGTGTCTGTCTGTGTCTCTCTGTTACCTTCTGTCCGTCTTTCTGTCTGGTGATCTCCTGTTACCCTTCTGTCCGTCTTTCTGTCTGGTGATCTCCTGTTACCCTTCTGTCCGTCTTTCTGTCTGGTGATCTCCTGTTACCCTTCTGTCCGTCTTTCTGTCTGGTGATCTCCTGTTATCCTTCTGTCCGTCTTTCTGTCTGGTGATCTCCTGTTACCCTTCTGTCCGTCTTTCTGTCTGGTGATCTCCTGTTACCCTTCTGTCCGTCTTTCTGTCTGGTGATCTCCTGTTACCCTTCTGTCCGTCTTCTGTCTGGTGATCTCCTGTTACCCTTCTGTCTGGTGATCTCCTGTTACCCTTCTGTCTGGCCATCCCCTCTTGCCCTTCTGTCTGTCTGGCGGGCCATCCCCTCTTGCCCTTCCGTCCATCCATCTGTCCATCCATCCATCTGGCGGGCCATCCCCTCTTGCCCTTCTGTCTGGCGGGCCATCCCCTCTTGCCCTTCTGTCTGGCGGGCCATCCCCTCTTGCCCGTCTGGCTGAGGGGCCATCCCCTCTTGCCCGTCCGTCTGGCTGAGGGGCCATCCCCTCTTGCCCGTCCGTCTGGCTGAGGGGCCATCCCCTCTTGCCCGTCCGTCTGGCTGAGGGGCCATCCCCTCTTGCCCGTCCGTCTGGCTGAGGGGCCATCCCCTCTTGCCCGTCCGTCTGGCTGGCGGGCCATCCCCTCTTGCCCGTCCGTCTGGCTGGCGGGCCATCCCCTCTTGCCCGTCCGTCTGGCTGGCGGGCCATCCCCTCTTGCCCGTCCGTCTGGCTGGCGGGCCATCCCCTCTTGCCATCCGTCCGTCTGGCTGGCGGGCCATCCCCTCTTGCCCGTCCGTCTGGCTGGCGGGCCATCCCCTCTTGCCCGTACCGTCTGGCTGGCGGGCCATCCCCTCTTACCATTTGATTGTATGCAGCTGCTGTTTGTATGAAAATTTTCCAACTGTTGTCTTTGAGTTTCAGTTGAAGGATGATGGGCAGGAGGGTGGCAATGGGACCCACCAATAGAGTGAATTTTGTCTGGTTCGTTAGGAACCGTCCAAAATACGCATAGTGTATGGCCTTTATTTTACCTTATCTATCAGTTTGTCCTCTAATCTATTTGTGCATATCTCTCTGTGTGTTTGTCTTTGTGTCTGTCTGTTTTGTCTGTCTGTTTTTTTTCCTTCTGCTAGATTTCCTGCCAGTTGGTGTGTGACAGCTGTCACTTTAGTTCAGAGGCTTATAAATGCCTTTGTGCCATGGTCACTAATATGCATCAGTGTCATAGAGTAATTGTCTGTTTTTGGGCCTTAAGATATTTGAACTTGTGCTGGCGGTGATTGTGGCCACACAGTTAGTGAGCTATAAAGTGAGTAAGCTGGTGACAATTGGAAAAACCCTTGTGTCATGTAGTATGATTAACATACCCTGGAGGGGAATCCTCCTATTCAGAAACAGCATCTTTCTGTGACGTTGAACCTGTCTTGTTTCCTCACCACTTATTTTGCTTTGCATTATTTTAGTAAGTGACTGTCTTAAAAAAATAAACACGTGCAACCTGACACTCAACTTCTAACTTTCTAAACCGTTTCTCTCTGTTGTAATTGTAGAATGTTTTGGTTCTTTATGAATTAATGTGATTGTAATGTGCATTTCATTCTAGAGCTGGCTTGGCTGTATATATGTAAACTAACTTTTAACCTGAACCTGTTGATTTGTTAGCTATACCTACCTGGCTTGCCAATAACTCATTGTTAGTAAGTTGGGAGTGTGTGTGTTCCCTCCCTACCATCATATTATTACTACTTAAAGGAGAAGTACAGCCAAAGCTCTTTTGGTAGTTGGTACTTCAATGGATCACAGGAGTGCAGTTGGTTGTGCACTCTTGTGATCCATTTTCAGGCAACGACTGGCCGAAGCCCGCTGACGTCACAGATCCGGTCCAGGTTCTGAAGAGATCCCAACAATGTAGTTGGGATCCACC